CAAAGGGCAAAAGTTCCTACCTGTTAGTACACATAACAAGACAAAATCAGAAAGATATATCCGAATTTAAAAAGGAAATAAACTCACTTGCTCCAGAATGAATTAACATCGGAATCGTCATCCCGTCAATCCGAGGTTCATGGAAGAAGCTCTCGGATTGCCACTCTGCCCCAATCCATAACCACTCTTCTTGGAATCCATGGAGAGTTTCTGGGATATCGGTTATTATCTCACCGACTTTTAAACCATGTTGTGGCTTCGCCCCGGCAAAGAAACAGCACGACGATTCCGCCACATACCTCCTCGGACTTTTCTTAAATGCAAAGATGCTCCTTATTTCCTCACACGATGGCAGCCCCTCACCCTGCTCGTGTAGCAACACCATCAGACCGATTATCTTCTTCCAACTATTAGGAGTAATCTGACACATCGGTAATCCCCAACTCCGAAGATACTCCGTGATCAAGTTCGGCAACGGGAATCTTAATCCCGACCTCAGACTCTCAACGAAAACTCCAACACACCCCGGAGGAGGACTGGTTATTCTCTCCCCCGGATATGGAGCAAAAATTCTCACCGAGGATGGGATCCGAATCTGCTCCCGAAGCATCACCACATCGGCATCAGTCAAAATGCTTGGCTCGCCTTCAAAATCGACCGCAGGATCAGGCCACGTCCTCACCGGTCTCCTCTAGTGAGGCACCTCAATGTCGGCCGCGTTCTCTTCGACCACCCGATCGCCATCTTCGTCATCGGGCTTAATATCCAAATGCCCTATCAACATCGGATCCCACCGATGATACTCAAAGGCCAATTCGACCAGTTGCGAATCATGATACACATCCAAGGGAACCGACTCAGTACTCGAGGAACTTGCTACCGCTTTACCCTTTCCCTTCGACGCCATCGCACAACAGAACAGAACGCAAAAGAAATAAAGGAAGAATTAAAGAAGGAACTTACCAAAAAATCCACAAACACACAGTGCGCAGGAAACGACTCTCGAACTCACAGGAATTTCAACAACAATGTTACTGGGTGCAAAAGCTCAAGAATTGAAACAAAAGTGAAGAAAAGTTTATCAGAAATCTCAAAGCCCTATTTATAACCCTAATTTCAGACCGTTAACCTTCCCTATAGACGGCACGTGTAATCGACACGACCTTTCTTCCCCAAGCGGTACAACCAAGTAACTATTATTTTATGAAAGTAGCCGTTACTGTAATTAAGGCCATTACGACGCAACCCTTCACTTTTTATCTTTACTGCGTTTGACCGTTACGTCTGTTCAAGCCTCCTTCATAACTGTCCGTGATGTACCCGAATTTGAAGTGTTTCTACCTCGGACTACAATCTTCACTTCGGAACAAGCAACTCACTTCGGTTACCTCGGTCACGTCGGGATACCGAAGACGACGAACACTCAGCCGCTAACTTCTTACCGATTCGGAACCTTTAGATGTTTGGCAATATCGATGATCATCACTCCGTATGCCCATCGATATTGGGGGCCTCTCTGTTATCATCTGACTCGGTAAGTCGTAATTAAAGGCCCAAAACAGCACCATAAGCGAATTTGATTCAGACATTACCATGGCATAAAGTCATCCCGGTTCGCGCAATAGACCGATACGACTCATTCGACTCAAGAAGACCGAAATGACTCATCCTCTGCCGAAGTCATCCCAAACCGAGGTCAACATAAAACCGAGGTCGTCACCTCCTAAAGCAGGTGACGAGGCGCCTACGCACCCCTATCACGATCTACGAGATTTTTCATCATTCATGTGGGACCCACTGTTCCAACCGCCCACCAAAAGTTACTTTATGTTGAAAATAATACACGGATCCCAATGTGTATCAAAAATGGTTACTATAAATAGTGAGCCACTGAATTTTTGTAGGGGATCCGATTCGGAAATCCAACTTTTGATAATGAAACACGGAGCAGCCCATAAAGGCTTTTCACCTCGGTTCACCTCGGACCGAGGCCATTGTTGAGCTTTTCTTGCGTGATTTACGTTTAAACCACTTGAAATTATCTCATAAACTCCACTTTCAATCGTTGTTAAGAATCATACGACAACAACTGAAATGATTCAATATGGACAAGGCAAATCCACTTAGTACCCCAATGGTCAATCGAACATTAGATATTGAAAAGGATTCATTTCGACCTTGTGATGAAGATGAAGAAATACTTGGTCCGGAAGTACCATATATGAGTGCAATAGGAGCTCTTATGTATCTTGCTAATTGCACCAGACCAGATATATCTTTCGCTACCAATTTATTAGCAAGATATAACTCGGCACCTACAAGGAGACATTGGAATGGAATCAAGCATATATTCCGTTATCTCCAAGGGACAATCGATTTGGGACTGTTTTACTCTAATGAAAAAAAACATGAAATAATCGGTTTTGCAGATGTAGGATATCTATCAGACCCCCATAAAGCAAGATCTCAAACCGGCTATGTTTTCACGATTGGTGGAACTGCATTCTCTTGGCGCTCTCAGAAACAAACGTTAGTTGCGATGTCTTCAAACCATGCTGAGATCATTGCATTTCATGAAGCAAGTAGGGAAAGTATCTGGATCAGAAATATGACTCAACATATTCAGCAAGCCAGTGGACTATCGAACAATAATGACCTGACGGTGATATTCGAAGACAATGCAGCATGTGTCGCTCAAACCAAAGAAGGATACATTAAGAGTGACAGAACTAAACATATCCCGCCAAAGTTCTTCTAATATGCGCAAGAGCTTGAAAGAAACAAACAAATCAAAGTTCAATACATTCGATCAAGTGATAATGCAGCAGATTTGTTTACGAAGGCGCTTCCGACGACAATGTTTCGAAAGCACATACACAATATTGGAATGAGACATCTTAGGGATTTGCACAGATGATAACTCGAGGGGGAGTATGTGCGGCTGTACTCTTTTTTCTTTATCTCGGTTTTTTCCCACAGGGTTTTTCCAGATAAGGTTTTTAACGAGGCAACATAAACGCACAGTTAATAGTGGTAATTCCAAGGGGGAGTGTTATAAACAAGTGGTGTAATTTACCACTATTAAAACTTATCATTGTAATTATTATATTAATATGTATGTTGAGATGTGTGCCCATTTTCATCTATAAAAGGGCAAGTACTATAGTGCAAATTTGGTACGGAAAAAAGAAGAAAGAAAGCAAAGATAGTCTGTTACAGTTTATATCCAGTTTTTTATACATTGTGCTCTTTATATTTCCCGCATTTTATAACAAATTCTACTTTTTAATTAGATGTAGGTGATGAGAGATTTCTGAATGCTATTTAACCATAGTTAATAAAAGAACATTAGTAAATTAAAATTTAATCAAACCTAATAACGAATTATGTAATTTTGTCGCATAGGATCACGAAACATGTTAGTCTCTCACTTATGCTCAGCACGTTTTTAATTAATATATATGGAGATATTTTTGTGAATGAAAGCTAGATGTCAAACTATTTAAAATCTAAGCTCGCTCTAGCTTTATATTTCGGTCTTAATTGTTGTAAGTAATTATTTTATGGGTATTATTTAATGGACTCGTATCGATGTTGTACAGTTGCATAAATGCATATAATATTAAAATTATAAGTTTAATAATCATATTATATTTTGAACATAAGATATTATAATTTATTCATGCATATAATAATAAACTTATAAGTTAACAATAGTATTATATTCCAAAATTTGGTCAATAGTTAAAATAAAAGGTACATAACTATTTAATTGTACCTGAATCACTATGTGGATTGCATAAAATGAAATAAATAATGTAATTTTTATAACGCGGGGGGCCCGGAGTCGGCCCGTGAGGGCCGCGCGCGGTCCAGCCCACCTCTCAGCACGTCCGACCCAATTGTCGCGGCCCAAGACATCTCAGCTCGGCCCAGGTGCTCCAAGTCGGCCCAGAACTCGTACCAGCGTAGCCCAGAGTGCACGAAATTCGCCCAGAAGTGTCCAGACCGGTCCAGGAGCGATCCAGCTGGTTCGGGGCGATCCGATGAGTCCGAGACAAGTCCGGGAACGACCGACATGGTCGGTGAACGATCCGTTGATTGGCAAGGGTAAGTCCGGCAGCTCAACGGATTCTATGTTTCAGATGATTTACAACAACGGATATCAGAAACGTCTCAAAGTCGGCAAAATTTAAAAAAGGTACGCGTTGAACCCTTACTTCTAGTTCCGCTGCGCTTAGGGTTTAATTCGTAGATAGTGACTAGCATAATTTCACGATCCTCAAATATCCCAACACCTTCAAATACTGGTGGTGGAATGTATGTTCGGTGGACAAAAGAGAAGTTAAAGAATCCAGGATTGAATTGACTACTTATATATTATGGTGGCTTTGGAAAGCCTGAAATTTCTGGAAGTTTGAAACCATTTGGATGCCAGATGATGCACTGCTTATGGTTGCTCAATGTGATTGGTTGGATTGCGACTGAGTAGTAGTGAAGGAGAGGAGAATCACTATGTCCTCTTTTGGTTCAGTAGTGTTTTTTCTCTTTGGTTAATTGCTATTTAGCCTTGCTTGCTTTGTTTTTGTGTCTGGTCTTTGTGCAGTT